ACACCGACAGAGTGTGAGGAAAGCAGACGTGTTCAACAATCACTCGGCGCAGCCGTCCTCAAAACTAGTCTAACTTTAACTCAGGCTGTGGAAGATGGCCTATGGTGATAGGTCGAAACATCAGAAGCAGAAGCAAAGACTTCAACACCAATCTTGTTTACCGCGACGATGACAAGTGAATCGTCATTATATCATCACTTTTGTCATCGTCATTAGACATTTTTTGCGATCCCTCCTGCGAGGGATGAAAGTCTCTGCAAGGTTCTGCCACAAAATCTTGCATTGCGTGACTCTCATCAACACTGCTCTAAAAACTTTCTTCAGTTCGTCTAGTCATCGAACTCAAGGCCTTCAGGGAGAGGCTCTCTTGTGCCTCTTGGAACCCAGTTCTAATATCGTTTTGGTCCAGCGACGGTCCGTTTCTTACAACTTGTCCTGCTCTGATTCTGTACTCTCAGTTCTTCGCTGATGCAATGACGCAGATGACACCTATTTGTGCTTTAATCCGTTCTTTGGACTTCTTATTCCCTCATGTTATCACCAGCATTCACATCCGCATGATGCATCGCGTAATCTGTGGTTTCTGGGCAACCTCCGTAATCAGAGGCTATATTTCGCGTCCACACATCAGCACTTCGAGCACATATGAAAAATTTCAAACTTACAAGACTATCAACCTTTAGAAAGCGCTCAATGCTAGTGTTACTTATGAATTTTGCAGAATTAGTTATCCGAGCAGAAACCAGCTGTTTGACGTAGACGTAGTTTCGTCCTCTTCATACCTTTTTGGTTCACTGACCTTGAAAGGTCGCTGAGTCACATGTTTGTTAAACGTGACCTGACTTTCCTTCAGGTTCATTTTCAGTCGTGCTTTTGTGCTGGACCGTTCAGATATAGGATTCCTTTCTGGCGTCCTTCTGACGACCTTGTAATACCAGTAAAACATTTTTTAACTTTCGATTACCTTTCGTCGGCGTTACGATTTGCCCTCAAGTATTAACAACCATTAACGACCAAATAGCATAAATTTAAGTTTAATAAAAGTTTAATCATTACATTACTCTGAACTTTCTGATCAAGTTGGTAATAACATCCAAGCTTTCACTTTTTGTGGTGAAAAACGAGTATTCATCGCAAATTCCATGTTTCAGCTCCAAAATATCAAGCAACTCCTTTATCAGAAGAACTAATTTTCAGTAATCTTTGTCATTTACCGACTCATTCGTCTGACTGAAGAGGTTCATTCAAAAAGAGGGTGGCGGTAAAGTCATCAGCTGAAAACTTTCTGTAAGATTTATAATTAGTATCCTGAAATCAATGTCACGAAGGATTGCATTGCTAAACTTTACCATACGCATGTTGAATGGTGAGCCATGAATCACTAGTCATGAACGCAGGAACTTCGTGAGCTTCGCCATATGCTACCAATCGCAAGGGTTTGCAAATCAGGACGAGTTTTGCCTTTGACTGAATCAGCCCATCAAGTAATGCTAGCTCATCTATTAGCTTCATATTTTCGCCAAGGCCCTGGACCGCTATCACCTAGATGCCACAGTCTGAAAATAAATATCAACAACAAACCTGTGATCACGCCTTATTCGTCTGATGGCTCAATGAACTTAAGAACTCGTTCGCTGGTGGCATGGTTATGATTTATTTTTCTTCACTATGTGATAGCCTGTTCAAAAGTTCAACGGTAATGGTGCCATATGGTGCCTTGAAGCATGGCGACTGAAGTTTTTCTTTAGATGTTTTGTCCCCCTGATTCATTTCATAGTTTGATCTAACAACCTTGCTTTCACTTCACCCGTTGGTAGAATGACTAGCGAATGACATGATCGTAAGTAAGTACCTGCAAGTCAAGCTCTGCTCACATGCAACAAGAACCTTACAAATCGGCATATTAATTCCTTTACGAAACAACTGTCTTACGCAGCTGAAGAGTGCAACAAAATTTTTCAATTTACAAAACGTGTTTTAATAGCAGGTACTTCTATAAACGTCTTTAAAAAGTTGCTTCATACAAAACACTAAAATAAGTGCATAGCGCTACTTAAATTACCACTTCGTATGTCTGTTTTCGAGAACGGGCAGGAATCTATGCTGTCAGGCTACAGGCAAATTTATTACGGCAGTTACAGGAGTGCAATGAGTCTTCAGGACGGTTGGATAACGAACTACTGCTAACCGGAAGTAAGCTATAGCCTCATGGCATTTAAGAAAATGCTTAGGAGAAAATCCCTTGATTCCAAGTGCCTGGAGGAGAGACCTGAGCAGAGCAGGCATAGCTAAGACGTGAATTTATTCTCAAAACCTATGCAGCTTCACTAGGACTGTGCCTTAGAGAAAAGAGGTCATACATCTGGGTTAAAACCCTGTCATGGTTACCGAAAACGAACCAACAATTGAAAATTAAGATGTGCAGACTAAAGGCAGAAGTGCGCAGTCAACGAACGTCCATGATATGCAGCACCATAAGTATTGGCAAGGTACGGTATCTTCTGTCGGAATCAAATACCGTAGTATCTCGTATAGCGCTGATTATTTTTGTTTTACGACCAATTGTCAGTACATACGTTTCTGCAGGTACGTATCATCGGATCCTTACCAACTCTCATAATTAATATGCCGCAGTCTTGCACTGCAAACGCTTAAATGCTTCTATGCACTGCAAACGCTTAAATACTGTCGAGCCGTAGCGTGCTTAGTGGAAAGCTGGCATTCGTGGCAGATACCAAATAATTATCAAATTCTATTTTACCTTGTTTATCATGTTTGACACTCCCATTACGGAAAGCCTGAATGTTTATTTGTGCAGCTGTCGAGTGTCGTAATAAGTAAACACGATTTGAGGAACGCACCTCCCAAATCCTTATTTCACCGTCTGAACTGGGGCGACGCATGAACATTGACGGAGAGCGGCTCACGCATTTGCTCCTAGCAGAGGATTTCATCAACTTCGCCAAAGACCCGGCGAAAGTACAGACAAAGTTTGTGAGTAGCAGAAGGAGTATTTAGCCATCAGTCAGGAGACGAGCAGCGCATAAGGAACTAGCTGTGCCCTGCGAACAGCATCTTCGTTTACGGCGAAAAATGGAAGAGATCGCTAGCTACGTATACCTCAATCACTTAATGGACTCCAATAACAACGTCAATGGCGTGATTAACAAAAAAGGCGTCATGAGCAAGTTTCAACCACATCAAAACATCGCTGCTGGATGAAGAACTACCCGTGTCCATTGAAAAAGAACTGTTCGACCAATCCTCCCACCCCCGTTGATTTATGGCCCAGAGTCCTGGTGTACTACCGAGGCCAAGGAAAAGAAACTGGCACTAATGCAAAGGGCGATGGAAAGAAGAGTACGGAGACCATGTTCCACGTGCAATAGTTCGTTGTTGGACATGATTCTGGAATGTACCCACTGCTACCTGAAATACAAAGACTTATTACGTTGGCCGTGTGTTCGCCAGAAGGACAATAGGTGGACACCCAGAGATATCAACCGGATTCCCTTCGGTAACAGATGTCCACTCAGTCGTCCAGTGACACGCTGGGACGACCCAGTGGACGAAGATGTTTGGTCAGCGGTGGAAGTAAAGGGCATAGCGATGAGAGGTGTGGCGAAACTTCGACTTGTGGCGGGGCTATTGACGGAAACAAGTCAGATAGAAGGTTCTCATTAAGCCCTGAACTTAACGAACCTATCACAGCGCCAATTCGGTATTCAAATAATGCCCTCGTTTGCAAAGATGATTCCCAAGCGTCGAACGAGCTATTCCGATGCGACTGTTCAGCCGTTACTGTACTGAAAAAATGCTGTCATTGGTTCCTGCTCAAGGCACGACCATAACAAGCTATATGTGATCAATCTCATTCGCATTTAGAAAAGCATAATTTCGCTTTGTCGATTTCCACTGTAACTTTGTTCTGGAGGTTAAAGGCGTCATTCATGCAGGCAACGGTTGCTTGTAACTTAAGCAGCTGCGTTACATTTATTCAATGGCTTCAGAAATACCTTTTTCGTTTAGGGCAAGTCTGTCTTGTAAAAGTGAGGCCTACCTAGTTTTCTGGAATCATCACGAAACAACACAGTCGTTTGTGAATAGCGCATGATGTATGGATCGGATTAGACTTTTTCGCCAGAACATTTAACACGAGAAGAATGGCACGTTGAAGATGAGCGTGTTACTGTATCGAAGGATGTCTTTGTCACTTAAAGCATTCGGTGGAGACCTGATAGTTGTTCAGAAATGAAATGGCATTCTTGCGACAGCGGTGAAGACTGTGGGCCAAAACCGAGCAACGAATACTGAAGCCTCTACACGGAGTTCGCGTAAAGCGCTGGGTGTGAGGTAGCGGATGACTTACCATAACCACCTGAGTATCAAATGCCCTCTTTGCAAGTTTAACGTTGATACAGCGGAAGTGCGTGGTAGTTCGCAGGCTGTCGCTGTGAAGTATTTAAATGACGGCTTGAAGTGCGATTTGCTTGAACTCAGGATACGAGTGAAATTCAGAAGTAAACGGTCATCAGTGATCGGCTGGAGGTGAGGTGGTCGAACGAGGAGTGCCTCCGCCTCCGCCTGCGCGTAGCGCATTGCGATTTCGCTCGAAATCATCCGTTTGCTACCAGTGGTGCAACTGACCTGGTCGCCTAAGTGGATTAACCGACTGCGTGGCGACGATTGAATGTGAGGTTTTTCATGAAAATCATGCTGTTCAGACAGATTCTCGGCATGTTTCGTTGTGAATGCTTCCAAGTGCCAAATCGCAGCCACCAATTCTTACAATAAACCTGTTCATTCGTAGTAAATAGCCGTCATTACCGTTGATTCGTGCGCCTATTATTGTGCGCTGAAAATAAGGACAAACGCGACGATTTTGTGCGCGTGTGCACGCTGACCTGCTTCGCGGGCAGCACTACGATGGACGAGCGTAGCGGCACGGACAGATGACAGAGAAATCGGCACGAAGTGATTCGAGGGACGAATGAGGACGAATGAGGACGAAGGAGGACGAAGGAGGAGCGGTATTTTGCACGCAGACAGAACAGCTGCAACAGCAGCCGCAAGGTCATCTGGCACAAACGTTCAAGACATGCGCCGAGGCGAAGGCGCATCCAACGCGACACGACGACCGGCCGGCCGGCGATCGTCGCCTGTGTACTCTTTTACTGGAACGTTTACGTCACATCGTTAAATGGGTCAGAGCCGGTAAAAACTGCAGAATTGTTTCAGAGGTCAGAAAAATTCGTTGCAAACATCCAAAAACATCCATCTGTCTGCATTTGAAATCGGGCGGGAGACGGAAAAAATGAGAACGGGAATTTGTCACCAATAACGTAACGACTTTCGTGTACGACGGCGACGCGGAATGGCGCCGGTGATGACAACAGCAATGAGCACTGAGCGCATAATGTTCGAGCAAA